ATTTTTACACACTTTGCGGGCAAGAGGGAATTGGGAGTGAAATATGTACATATTTAATTTTATTTTTATTTTCATATTTTCAATTCAAGATGCTCATACTACGCCTCACATTTATTCAAATTTACGAATTATTAGGAGAAACACTGCTAGGTCTTCTTAAGGATTATTACGTGATTGATGTTCTTGTATCTTTTTTTTATTTTGGCAACTCAACGAGTTTGATAAAAAAATTCATACGAGTATCCTACAAGTTTCTGCATTTCAAAAATATATCTTTAAGACCACAATTCTTTCAAATTTACGGCATTTATGCTGTACGTATTAGTACTTTCTCTAGTTTTCCAAACCAACAATATATAAAAGGCAAAATGAAGAAAAACGGCCGGCTATTACCCTCCGCTTTTATTTATAAACAGTCCTCATATTTCAAAGGGTCTTCCCCAGCTGCGAGACTGAACCTGATTTGTCCATTATTTTGCACAGCTAAATGCTTTTGACGGGATTCTCATCCATCCCCCCGACGTAATAGAGGACATTTTAATATCTCAAGTTCGCTTTGAAAGTACTCCATTTTTTCAAGGGAACAAATTAAATTGGTCCTTTGACCTGGTAATTATTTGAACAACAGACTCGGGAGACTCTGTCAAGGAACATTAATTAAATCATCTGAGTAATGGAGCTTCGTGCGACACGCTAAAACCTAAAAAAATGTGTAGATATCGTATAATATTTAATTCAGAGATTTCGTAACTGATTTTAAATTCCTTGCGATAATTTTTCTTGAACAATGTCACAGTCACTACTCAAGTTAAAAGAAAATCTTACTTTAATTTAAAACAACTCATTTTTTCGTGTTTTCTCGAAGTTAAAATTAGATTTACAATGCTGGTTAAATGTAGATTTAAAAAAATACAGTTTATAGCTCACAAAGAACAAGCAGAATTACTACACAGCTTTGTTGTATTAATCATTTTCCGCTAACAAAGTAACGCCATTAATAGAATCCCTCTGAAATAATGTAACAGGAGCCCAATCGCAAATATTTATATCAATCTAAATACACACACATCTATACTAATATTATAAAGCTGAAGAGTTTGTTTGTTTGTTTGTTTGTTTGAACGCGATAATCTCAGGAACTACTGGTTCGATTTGAAAAATTCTTTCAGTGTTAGATAGGCCATTTATCGAGGAAGGCTATAGGCTATATATCATCACGCTAAGACCAATAGGAGCGGAGCACCAATGAAGAATGTTTCAAAAACGGAGAAAATTTATTACTATTGAGAGACGCAGACGAAGTTGCGCGGGTCAGCTAGTTACAAAATAAAATACATGGCATGAAACGATATAAAACAATTTGCAGCTATGTTTTCTGAAATACAGTAGTTGACATATCCTAAAGATTTTATCTACACAAAGGTAACTACTATTTATATCATTTAGATACTTGTAACGAATTATAGATATAATTTACATGACTTAAAACTACTTTTGGTCCTATTAGCCACATATTAAACATGTAAGGAATGGCGCTAGATTAGATTTAAGTTTATTGTGTGTGTGTGTTTTATGTACAAAATTGAAAAAAGTGTTGAGACAGCAAAATCTCCTTCGATCACTGTGTTCATAAAATTAAACTTCATGAAAAAGGTTTTCAAACGACAATTACGGTTAAGTAAGGATATCATAATTTACTGAACCGAGTTTTTCGAATGAAGGGGCTGTACACTAAATACCTATTGTACCATGATTAATAATATACAGGATACGTCTGGATTTCGTAGACGCCTAAATGTATAATAATTTTATTTATACTTTCATGTTGAAACATGGCTTTACGGCTCAAGTTTTATTAATCCTTAAAAATCTTTTGGTAAATGCTTAAAGTCCTTAATGCTAAGAGCGTAATCATCATCATCAACGGTCTTTAATAGTCCACTGCTGGACATAGGCCTATCTTTGAGCGTAAATAATCGCATAATTGTATGATAGGGTGCAGTTACGAACACTCGCTGTAAATGAAATGGCCATGTGTCATAGTTATGAGAAGTATAATTTTATGTAAGGAATAATTAGTTAAAGTGCTAAATACTTATTTCTTTGTATTTGTAAATGGTAACATATTGATGATATGTGGTTTTTATTTTAGATTTTATCCGACTGCTATGAAATAATGTTTATGTGTGTACAGGACAACGATCGACTTAGAGGGGGGTTGGAAATAAATCCCTGGATTAAATACTAAGCGCGTATAATATTCAAGCATTGTAATGCAATGCTTGTTGTTTTACATGCTTAATGTACTACATGATTGATAGTTAACACATCACAGAATTATTATTTTTTGTTTTTTTGTGTGATGTATGGTTGTTGGCCTCGGATGGCCTCGACAACCTTGCCCGGGCTTTTCGGTGAGCGCAGAGGGCTCTCAACCGGTCTTTATTAAGTAACATCGCCCAAGGGCACCCCCTGTGGGGTACGAACCTCGGCTTGGGGCGTTACTGGCAAACTAGGGCGACCAAGACCCACATTTAGGAGTTAACGCGGCGCGTATTCCGGCCCCGGCGGCGAGGACGGAATCGCGGACGATTCGTGGTAGCTGCGCGAGCTGTGTACACTCGCTGCTGAGCGAGGGTGATAGTGTCGTCTGGCTCAACTAGAGCGTGTTTCGGTCTGCGTGTGCGTGAAATTTTGCTGGGTGTGTAATTAACAGCCGCAACCACTAGAGGAGAGGTGAGTCGGAGCAGAGTCAAAGTAGCTAAGGGAGCACTGTTTTATGAATTGCCTGATGGTCGGCAGCTCGAGGTCGATATAAAGGTCGACATTACGCACATACCACGGTGCTCCCGTAGCCCGGCGCATGAAATTATTTTGTAGTGTTTGTAGCCTATGGATCCTGTGTTGCCTAGCGTGTGCGAATACTACAGTACCTTATGTCATGATAGGTCTAATACATGACGTGTATAATCTGACTTTGTTTTTGAGTGATAATTTGGACTTTGAGTTGACTAAACTATGGAGTCGACCCAACACGAAGGCGGCCCTGTTACGAACCGCCTTAATGGGGGCCCCGAAGGTTAGTCGATCGTCAAGGATTATACCTAGATATTTGGCCTGTCTAGCCCAGGGGATAGGCGTACCAAACATCCTTATCTGTAATCTCACACAGAAGAAATATTTTTCCTTCTTATCTAAAGCAGGTAACGAAACCATAACGCGATTCAAATTTTCGAGTCAACGCCATCTATCGAGCCAACTATTCAACCTTTTGTATTATTAATTAATTAACTAAATTAATCACTATACGATTTCGTTGACCTATATTTAAGTGAACAGTGTGTATGTTTAATATTGTGTTTTTTTAGGAACAAAAACTATCCATTATCGCAGTGTTGGTCAAGGACTTTTATTTAAAGATAACTCCCGCATATATCCTGTGTCGTGGAGGACTTTACAAACATTCATGAAAGAACACCCAGACTCAGAACAACAATTTGTAGATTTAAGTGTAATCCCGTGTGGGAGCGAACCCACCCCACTCAGCGCAGTAGGTACCGGCGAGATAACCGCTTAAACCACTACACCATCCCTGCAGATGTTCAAAATCACCTACTATCTGACGATTTGAGCTGGTATACCAAGTCCAATTGTTCACTTTAACCCTTTAGTCTCGGGTTGTATTATTTTATTTTAAAAATTAGTTTATTTTTATAAAGTTTTCCAAGCTGGCTCACTCGCTCCCACCCATAAGCCTGGCTTCGTCATCCTGCCAGCGCCATTAATTAATGTGTAGCTCAAGACATAATTTATTGTTTTTATAATGTACAAACCTAACCTGTACAGAGCCGTGAGCTTAAATATATTGTCAAAAAAACAATTTATCAGCACCGAAGCCTTTCCTAAGGCATTTTACACACACATAAATATAAAATAAATGTAGTTGGACAGATTTGACTTATTATTCTTTTGTTTTACTGAGTCTTTTGGAATAAAGAAATAATTTCATCATCTGCCTACCCTACCAATTTTATTTAGGGTCTGCGCAGTAAGTACGATGCTTGCATTCCACTCTATCATTTGTCATCTCACGAAGTCCATCCACCTTTTCTTTGGCCTCCCTCTTCTCCTGTACCCTTCAACTCCCATACCGAACACTTTCTTCGCCACATTTTCCTCATGCAATAGCTAACGATAATCTATTACTTCTTAACTTTTCATCCAGCTTTTTCAGACTCCCTCGTATATAATCATTCCTAACCTTGTCCATCCCAGTCACACCAAACATCACAGCATTCGCATTTCGGCTATGTTTACACGTAATAAAGAAATAATTTGAAAAATGAAAGTACAATTTTTAATAAAAAGAGTTGCTTCTCAATCAGCGCCTAGACGCTAAATATATGTGTGTCATCTGTATAATATTGGACTAATGTATATTTTATTTATATGTATATGTACCTATGTAAACATGATCACACTTGTACTTTAGTATCGTAACACATGTTAATTTAGTTTAAAATATATACCTACCACACACAACCGTGCATCACACAAAGATTAGCTTGAAATAATGCCTGCAGTAAGACCGCCTTGTGCAGCATAATTGCAGGAAGAGTTAAAAACTAAATAGTTTTAGGTTAAACTTAATATACAAGCCCGATATTGATGTCAAAGCTAGTAAATAAATTAATGAGTATACCATGCTAAATATGATTTTGGGTATTTAACAAGTAAATGGTGATATAAGTGAAAGGCAAAGACACGCTTTGCATTACACAATTCGTCCTTGTTACTGTTTTACTCTCTACACGTTCAATACCAACCGTTATTTCAACATGATTTACAACAGGGGGCGTAGCTCAGATGGTAGAGCGCTCGCTTAGCATGCGAGAGGTACCGGGATCGATACCCGGCGCCTCCAGATTTACTTTTTTTTTTAATTTCAAACATAAAAAAATGAGATGACGTAAACGACAAGCAAGTCATTTTCCAATTACCTATTCCCAAGTATTTGGTATAGATTTTTCAAATAACTGGAATTTAAAAAAATATTATTAGGTTGTAATATATGTGCAAAATTTCTTAACAGAAATTCAGTAACTACCCCATACTAATGAAACTTGTGGCACAGTTTCAAGTGTTTTAACAGAATCAAATAAGTTTCCGCAACTATTAAATTCCCAACATCCAATGGTTAAATTGAGGCTTACAGCTTTAACCTAGGAATGTACTCAAATAATATATATTCGCAGGGGTTGAACTACTCGTATTTAAGCATTTCTTAAGTTTAGTCTCTCTCTCTCTCTTTTAGAATTTATTATCCGTACACTTGGTTGCAGAATATTGTTTTTTTTTCTACTATAATATGTTATAATTTTTTTTTATGTAATCTTTTTTAGTACATCTGACAAATAACGCAGAGCTTGTACTATGATAACTAAATTGACTGATAGAATACTTCTTATATTATTTTTTGTTGTAAATAAATACATATTAGAAAACACCCAAACTCCGAAACAAATATTTGCAGATCATACAAACATTAGTTCCGACCCGAGAATCGAACCGGAGACCTCAGTCGCATACGCTACCACTACACCACCGAGGCAGTGAAATAAATTAGGTTGTCATTATAAAAATATCTTTTTAAACCTTCACTGCAAATTACTGATGGTGATTACACTGAAAAATCACATCAAAATCCTGAGCGCAATAGTGACATTTGAGAGACGCAGACGAACTAGCGGTGTCAGCTAATGTAATGATAAGAGTCGAACGTGCAATAAATGCTGATACAATATATGTTTTTTTACACAACGCCATCTAGTCCCAAACTAAGCAGAGCTTGTACTATGGATACTAGACATCTGACAAATACATATATACCTTTTTTTTGTAAATACATACATATTATACATAGAAACACCCAGACCAAATCAAACATTAAATGTTCATGCACACAAATGTTTAACTTGAGCGGGAATCGAACCCGCGACCTTTGGAATAGCCGTCCGTTACACAAACCACTACGCCATTCGGTCGTCAAACACAGTAATTATAATTTATTAAGAAGAAAATGTATCTGCCATCTACCAAATAATTAATCAATGATTATTTCAACCTATATTCTGGGCTTTTCAATTAATTAATTACGTATCTGTTGTTTGAGGGATGATGACTATCGATATTTATGTGATTTGGGGTAATCGTTACATGACACCTATTGAATTTAAATGTTGTTATTTATGAATACATTTAAAAGACATTTTATAAAACTATTTCCATGGTTTTTTTTCGACTGCCAAGGAAGGTATCTTTTATGTTTGTTTGTAAACTTCTTTATTACCCCGTATCTTCCAAATGGCTGGATGGATTTCAACATTTGATTTTTGACGCAAAATGGTAATAGGTTAATGAAAAAGACTAATAACCAAACCTATCGAGTTATATTTTTAAATGAAATAAGAAATAATAAATTGGTTTTTAATGATTTTGATAGCGTAAAAATAGGCCAGGTTTATGTTGCGGTTTTAGTTTTGTAGTGCATTACTTTTAATTCGTCCTTTTGCAGTAGAGTTTTTGTTTGTTTTTATTCCTACTTGTAGATTTATTATATTTTTCTTTCATTTTTAAAGCTTTAAGTACAACATAGTCGTGAATTCAGAATAAGACTTTTGTATATAATGAACTGTTTTTGAACATTTTTTTTGCAATACGTTGTTCAAATTCTATATTTGCTACTATTTATTTAACGTCGTTAATATAGATAATGTCATATACTAAAACGAAACGCGTCAATCACAATTTGCACATTCAAAGCGAAATTCAATTCGTTCAGGCGTTCTGCAGATACTGCACTATTTGTCGAGAGAGAAAATGCTATTTACAGTTATTGTAACACATTTTTCAAACGAAGATTTTAAATTGGATTTAACCTCGTAATTCTGTTCAATATAAATGGAAATCTCCTAGCATTTTCGCAATTCTCATTGTGTTGGAAATCGAGACGACCATTCAATAAGTTCAAGTGAGTCACACTCGATACAGACCCTGATGGGTTCTTATTAGACTTGCAACGAATATTCGGTTACTATTCGGTATTCGGCCTATTCGGCTGCTTTTATTATATTCGGCCGAATACCGAATATCTACATATTATTCGGCCGAATACCGAATACTTAAATAATATATTTTGTCATTGAGAAATAATTGGTAAAATGAAAAATTAAAATCTATTGATTACGTATATATTCATATTTTCATTTCTGTTATAATCATTTAAGTAGTCATTGGTGCATAACACAGGTACATAATCATCTTCTGAATAGGAAAAATGGAGGATTCTATGTATTTGAATTATTGTGGTAATCAAAATTTAGAAGGGTAAGGTTCTCATTTCTTTTATAATCATTTATTAAGTAGTCATTGGTACATAAAACAGGTACATAATTTAATTCACGTCTGTACAAGTTATTGGCGGTAAAATCCAGCCGAATACTTTTGCCTAATATTCGGCTATTCGGTCAGGGGCCTCGCCGAATATTCGGTATTCGGTATAATGCCGAATATACTATTCGTTGCAAGTCTAGTTCTTATTATAAATAACAATAGCTACGCACCGATCCTTTCCGTCCTGGAAAACTGAAGAACACGTCCGGTCCGTTCCTGTGAGGCATCTGTCGCAGCACGTTCAGCAGCTTAGCAGAATGCCGGGGCTGTAAGAGAATACCAATTTATTAAATTATATTACTACACCTACCAGGAACTCATAAAGATAACATAGTTACAAGTAGTCGGCGAATATGGATATGTTTTTTTTTTGAAAATATACTGTACATAGTTATATACCACTTCAGTTATCGTTTTGTGGGAAGACTAGGTTTTGATCTTTATTCTTCTGATACTTTTGGTTTTAAGAGAAATTCACTTATACTAAGTTCATTATGAGTCACACTAACTAACACTGCTTCGTAATTACCACTATGTTGTCTAGAAGGCATACCAGTTAATGAAATAAAACCGAATCGAATATCGAACTAATTACTAGGTTAAGTATTAGTATTTTGCGTAGTATGAGCCAGTACAGTACCCTAGCAGAGGAACCAAGAAAGCAATATAGCCTTTTCTAATACATCAAGCTCAACGTCGATTGGAAGAAGGTATAAGGTTTGTTTTCATATAACATTATTAATATCTGAAAATACATCAATATTTCTGAGAAGCCAGATTCCCCTAGTTACGTAATTGCTTTACTAAGTCGACTTTGAACATTTTTTAATCTTACAGATAACAAAGGCAAAAAAAAACTCTTCAAAGTTGAAAGTTTTAAAATACTGCGACATAAACCCTCTCGATATTGGCAGTAACGGCTTCCGATAAAGAAGCCCTTTTGCTAACTCAGAAATAAAATGAAGAGAGGAAAATTTATACCATTCAGTATTTTTTCAATATAATCATAAACTTATTATTTACTTTTTAATCAGTCATAAAACTATCATTTTGAAGACATTAAATGTTAGCTGAAAGGACAAGCGGTCGTTACTACTAGGCAAGTATAAACACAAAGTGCCTACCGTTTCTGCCGTAATTGCCTTACTGCGACATACCGTCTGTAAAATGATGCAAATTTGAAAAGCATTCGTGGTGAGGCTAATTGCACGTTTGTCGTAGCTACCGCATTTATCCGAGTCCTTTCCATATCCCTCTTCATTTTATGTCTGCCTGGTCGAATTAAGTGGTTTCTGCGGGGGTGGCACGTAGTACCACGACGTAGTAAACAAATTTGAGTACATGTTTTTTTTACTAGCAGTCTATTTAAATGGCAACATTTTGTAACGTACATTGTTTATACTACAGTTAAATCAAACGTTCCTCGTACGTAACGTAAGGCGTAAGTTAGGCCACAAAATAAAACAGTTATGTTATTTACTTACATCATAAACTTAACGACCGTTCTAGAAGTTTTAGGGGCAATAAAAAAGCTTTGTTTCGCACTCGGGCACTGTTGAAGAGGTTTTGTGGCTCGAGAACTCTTGAAACGTCACTTAAACTATACCGAAGGAAATGTATTATCTCACCGGCTTTCCTTTTAGGCCGAAGCAAAATATTGTGTAATTATATTTTATAATAGTTACCCTCAAGCTTATCAAAATAAAGATAGGACAGATATTCTGTGGTATAAGGACCCCAACAATTATTTAGATATATGTCCATTGCAAGTCCATTCTACTGGAGACTGATATCAATATTTAAAAAAAAAACAAAGATATCGTGATCGTTATTTTCGATAAAATGGAAAATAAATTTATTATTAAGAAAGCAAGTGTTAATTTCCAACGTTAATCGTTACGTCACGTTATTATTTGGTTTCTTAGATCCTTAGATACCAGGATAACATGAAAGGATAAGTGATAGTGAACAAATTACTTAAGATTCCTTACCCATTTGCCGTTGACTGCTTTCATGGCACTAAAGAGTTGTTTAAGTTCTTTGACCGTAACGCTATAGCTGGCCAGAACACCCAACATCTCGATGAGAAGATCTGCAACAAGAGAATGCCAAAATTGTCATATTATTGTATTATAAGTACAATCATATTAATCTTTATATTACATCAACAGCCCTTATCCACTGCTGGACATGTATTTAGAAACAAGGTTTTGCCTACCATACCACGCGCGGTGGCAGGCGGGTTTTGTCAAGTTTTCCTTCTCTTACGACACCCACGGGTTGAATATGGGTGTTCTTAATCCGTCATCACACACACACACACGTCATCACAATCATACACAAGAAAATAACACATACTGATTTCTTTTACTAATTATATTTGAACAAATAGTAAAAAATTGAACTTTATGATTGAATTTACTATATGTCCAAGCTTTCAGATCGTAGGCTAGCAGATGCTCGTTTTGCTGGTAAAGAATACTTAATTAGAATACAAATACATTGTAATAGCTATTAGTGAATTTTTACACAATATGTACAAATAATTCATTTATTGAACAAATCCAAATGCAACAAATTTAGATCAAAATGCAACAAAGCTTAATTAAAATTTTCAAAATAAAGACACTTAATATTATACTTATATACGAATACTTAAAAAATCTCTTATAATACACTCGCTTTATATCAACAGAAAACGATTTGCATAAAAAACCTTAGAGAGTTATAACTACACTAACTGGTACCCGCGACTTCGTTCGCGTCGAATTAGAAAAGCGCTGCTTTAGTAGTTCCATTCCCGGATTAAATTTTAAGAGATACTTACTAAGCTCACCAATTTTTTCAATAAGTTAATCAATTAACAGCTTTAACTAGTCAACTTCTGGACAGTTGCTTGTTGCAGTGCTGTTGTCCTGCAAAGTTTGCTCCTTAAGTCGCGGGAATAATAGGGGTGGTGACACTGCGTATTCTTAATCTGACACAACATGGTCACAACATAAATAAAGTGTATATAAATACTTTTAAGTAGTAGCAATGAATTAGGTTAATTATCTCTAACAGCTTGTTGAGTCTGAGATGCCCAAATATAGGGTTAAACCTAAAACATTGCAAAAATAATTCAAGTGTACGTGACCTTTTCTCATAAAGTAAGGAATAGAGGGCACTTTTTTTGAATTCACATTTATTTGTATTCATGTCTTGAACGCGACGAGACATCAAAAAAATACATGAATATCGTGACAAAGCAAAAACATCGACATTACACGTGCTCAACTTATCCATGCCTCGCCTTCCCTTGATACATTAGACGTTAACACTCCTTACAACTCCTAGGAGAGCGTGGTAACTATTGAATATTTAGGAGGAAATTTGCTCCACCACGACCCTTTCAGCGAACTCTTAAGCTGTAATCATTTACATGTTAATTAATAAATAGCTAGACACTAAATGGCTCTACTTGTAAACTGTTTTAATTAATTTCACAAAATGTATTTGTTATCAACGATGAAAACTTGGTCCCCAAGAACACCACAATAAGGTTCCCAAGAATACAAATGGATAGACTGGGAATGCCACTATAGTCCCAAAGCCATCAAGTGGAAAGTTCAGGCATGCTGTCGCATTCAAAAAGTAGTTCTATCTACTTCATTTCGTATCTTTTTTTTTACATTTGGATTGCGTCATCCGGGTGTAATATACATAATTCAATTTATCAAGTAAGACCTCTTTTGTTCTTATCTGCAACATATAGTATGTGATATTAGGGTTAGACATTAACAAAACAGACTTCTGACAGCTCCCTAACTCTTGAAGTGTGAAAAAAGAAGTACCAAGTCATTTTTAATCTTTCTACAATTGGGCACGTACCTTTATAAAGAAGTGATCGCCTATTTTAACCTGCTTCTAAATAAATTAATCTTTTGAAACCTTTCTTACGAGTATATTCGGAAGAATAGTTTCAAAAAGAAGTGGAAACCTCAAACATCGGAAACTGTTTGTACAAATTATCTTAGAAAGCTTTTGTTAAAGATTTAATTTTTAGAAATTATTTTAAGTTCGATGGCCATTTTTTACTTAAAAAAAATCTGGACAAGTGCAAGTCGGCCTCGCCAACAGAGGGTTTCGTACAAATTTGTAGGTACCTATTATAACTAGCTCGAGAATCGACTCTATGATATCGAGTATATTATTGTGTTTTATAAGTGAAGGCAAGACCACCAAGGCCATAATCTCAAATTTTATGAATGGTGTCCTAACATGTCGCATATATCCGCATACAATTAAACATAAAGTTGGCTATTGGCATATATGGCAGTTACCTAAGGGCACATGACAGGGTTAATCATCCTAGCTGGTGGGCAAACAGACAGCAGTCTCCGTAGGCAAAATCTGCAAGGGAGCTGCATATTTATAAGTGAAATTGTACGTCGATGATTGATTACGTACTTTAAATAAAGACTTTTGTGATTAAACAACAAATGTGTAGTTTTCGGATTTTTTCCTGGACTTGTAGTATAAGACGATGTCACTTGCCAAATTTCATAGTTTTAGGTCAATGGGCGTTTTTTTTTGCGGCATAAGAGGCCGTATCTTTTTTTACGTCAACTTAAAAGTTCAATTTTTTCACGGCTTCAAGGGATTGTTGACCTGAATATACGCTTTTAATTTCAAGTCGATAGCTCCACGCGTTCCACAGATAGACAGACAGACGGACAACAAAGTGATCCTATAAGCATGAAGCATAATATATATGAATCAGTATAGCGTGATTTGAAAAGTACTTTATCTATATAAAAAGAAGTCTGCACCGACTTAGCCAAGTTGTTCAGGGTTAAAGAGGTACAGGTAAATTAGCTTGGAGAAATTTTTGCGTTTGTAGTAGTGTATGGTAGCGGACAGCGTAAACTGGTTTATTCTGGTTTTGTGCGTGTTTCCACTTTCCACTATCAAGTGACGATTTTTTGCTTTAGATTGAAATATCTCGGAAACGGTGCGTCCTAGGCCAAAAATAACAAAATTTTGACCCCCCCGTAGACCTCCCGGAGTTTTAAAAACTTAGATGAAAGAAAAAAAAAATATATTTAAATATCGGTCTTTCCTCTTTGAAGTTTCACTTCTATCGTGTGTGAATCGCACACACACCTTTTTTTTTATAAAGTCAAAACCTTTTTCTTTAAAATAAAAACTTGTTTTTATTGAAAACAAAAATCAGAGTGTTGCTAGGGATAAGTATAAAATTAAATAGTAATGTTAGGATATCGAAACATTTTTGTATAGGCCAGAACGATATAGTGGAAACGCGCTCTAAGATCTGAGTAATATACACACCACTACATTTGCAAAAATTTCTCGAGACTAATTTCACTGTAATTTACCTGGTGTTGCGATTGGTTATAACAACGTTACTCTGTCATTAATCTCATGATCCTAAAAGTCACGATGACTGATAAAAAGGTCTCAAAATCTAAAAAAAATACTTTGCTGAGCTCACTTTCATGCGAGTGAAATTGATAAATTAAAAGGTAACGAAAACGGTGTGATATTTTTAAGTCATTTATATCTACAAAACTCAAATTTTACTTTTATTATGAATATCAAACTATTTAATCTACACATTGAAAATTACTTGCCATCAATGGCTGATTCATCAACGCAAAGCCTACACCGCTGGGACTAAACTTCAATATTTGGCAGCTGATGCTTTTCATGTTGTGAGCACCCACTAAGGAATGATTTTTGGGAATATCACCCCTAAGGGGATAAAATAAAAGATGAAAGTTAGAAACAGGAAATAAAAAAATAATTAGGCGAGCGAGGCCGCTACCAATCGCTAATAATGTATATTTATAGAAAGTTGGCTGGTCATTTACAAGGTCTTTTTACACTAATATACTAATTACTATCAGCGAATCGTAAATCTTTCGGAAGCCAAGTATAAGGGAATCAAGATACTTTATTTATACATTTATATGGTCTCCACTCCTAAATGTGTCCTTTTCCTCTTTTATCAATCAAGGTCGCATTGGATACTCGCTCCATTATTCAGCTACCTCACGTGTGACCCTTTAAAAAATCACCAACAAAACAACAGTGCTGGAAGTCCATCTGTCACGGAGTGGCAGCCACATTGTACCCTAGTTAATCCCGAGCGTTGCGTCCTGGCTAATCCGTCCGTAATTCCATGTCCGGGATTTTCACTGCTCTCGCTCCGGTTAATGCTATCCCCGGGATATTAAAATGCTCCTGGCGATTATGTTTTTCAAATATTAATGGAGATTTTTCGCTCCGATACGCCGTCCCGGGCGAAAAGTCGGGTTTATGTTATTTTTATGTATCAAAGGTTTCGTTTTATGAGGTACATAAATGTAATAATAAAATCTATTAGAACAACAGCCTGTGATAATTGCAGGTCGAGTTTATAGTTCATGGTTGACTGAACAACGTGATTGGAGAAAAAAATGGTGTTCGACGCTAGGCAACCAATAAACTTGTAAGACCTAGGACAGAAAAAGGTTATGGGTAGGGAAAATAGTTCACGATGTAATACGGTTTTTAGAAGCTACTTTTTTCCTCGTGTCCTTTTTTTAAGAAATCCATCTGTTTTTAATTTATAACGCAAAATTTTCCTTTTTCGTTAATCCACGTATTGCGGTAACATGAAGTGTAGTAGAAAAAGTGTAAAAGGCAAAAAGATATTGGATTCTCTGGATTTCAGAATGATGAACATTGGAATCAATCACCTTCCTAAGCCCCAGAATCCGAACTGGGTCTGTCAACGGACATGGTCCGGCGCTGCCAGGCTTTTTCCATAGATAAGTGTAAATAAAAAAAAATCTGAGATATTTCCTTGTTTATTCAAAACTGAATCCTGTAGCTATTAAATTCTATGAAGTTCTAAGACAAAACAGTAAGAAAATGTTCCATTGAAAGTATAAAGGAAATCAAAACGATCATAAAGATTGGAGGCGCCGGGTATCGATCCCGGTACCTCTCGCATGCTAAGCGAGCGCTCTACCATCTGAGCTACGCCCCCTGTTGAACATTATATTAAATCAGAGGTCTATAATATTTATTCATGTTATGTTATCC